CGCCCTGAGTGAGCTGTCATCAATCAGTCCGCCATTGTTTCGACGCTGGAGCAGTAGACAAGAATGGCTCCTAAGCGATTGAGGTGTTCTGTTGTTGGATGTAATAATAAACTAAAGTAAACAGTCTCATGAGAACGGCTCGTCACCCCACGGAAGAGAGGGGCGGGGAGAGCAGAGCTCATTAGCATTTAAAGGGACATGCACTAAAACGGCTTGCTGAAAACAAAGCTGATTTTGACAGGGTAAAAAGGGTATTTTTTACACTACCATTGAGAAATTCTAACCAAAGCATGTTATAGACTTTTTATTAAGACCCTAAAGAATCATATCGACTTGTGGAAAATGGGCATCCGATGACCCCTTTAAACACTGGATTATTCCAAAAATGCAAATTTGCTGAAAATTTACTGTAGCCATCCAAGATATAGATTTTGCTTCTTCATTTCAACATATGTTTGATAAATTAAGCATTACTGCATTTGCTCACCAATGGATGCTCTGCAGTGAATGGGTGCCGTCCAAACAGCTGATAAATACATCACAATAATTCACAAGTAATCCACACGACTCCAGTCCATCAATGAACATCTTGTGAAGTGAAAAGCTGTGTTTGTCATAAACAAATCCATCATTAATACGTTTTTAACTTCATACTGTTGCTTCTATCTAAAATATGAGTCATCTGTCCATAATACTTTCTCCAGTGAGAAGTCATTTGTCTGAATCCAGAGAGTTATATGCACACACCAAGCATTGTTTATAAGTGAAAACAGTCCAAAACAGTTCTAAACAAATATGTTAGCAGATTTTGATGTGGGCTGAGGGTAAATATATTTTAAGCTAATTTCCATTTTTCATGTTTAAACAATGTGAGTGGTTGGTTATCACACAACACATGAACTGTCCACCAGGCCACATATTTATGTATTTATGTTTTACAGGAGAAGAAGAGATGGCTAAAGAACTAGAGGAACTGTATGGTGATATTGATGCTCTGGAGTTCTACCCAGCTCTTTTGCTAGAGAATACACGATCTGGTGCGATATTTGGTGAAAGCATGGTGGAAATGGGGGCCCCATTTTCCCTAAAAGGCCTCATGGGAAATCCTATTTGCTCCCCTGAGTACTGGAAGCCCAGTACATTTGGGGGGAAGACAGGTTTTGATATAGTAAACTCTGCTACTTTGAAGAAACTGGTTTGCCTCAATACAAAATGGTGTCCGTATGTGTCTTTCCATACTCCTCCACCAGAATATAAACACCAGAGGACATCTCACGGTGAACTTTAGCACAATGTACTTCTGGAATCTGTTTTAAATCGCTGATCAAAATTTTGACTTCTAATTACAGATGCAAATGACAATGAATTATCGTGTAAATCAGAACTGAATTAGTAATGACAATTATTAGACTTGTTATTTGTAACAAGGTGACTGAAGAATTAATTTTCATAGTATTATAATATCATTAAAATTTTTTGGATTATGACAGAATGCTTATTACAACATACATGAGCATTTTATGGATTTAACTGACCCTTTGCTAAGCCCTGCCATAAAAACGTTACTTAAGCAACTGTTGCCGTCTGCCAGCTTTTGTTCTTTTATAATACAATCCCACAATACATTCCCACCTGCTTTAAGAGCATATTTTAATGAAAATCATGCTGTTTATGGTAATCTCATAACTAAAGGGGGTGGAGCTTAAAGGATAAGTAAGAGAATTGACTAAAAGGTTGGTGATTTCTTGCTCCATACTGAAGAATTAATATTCAGAAGACAATTCACTTTAGACAGTGAATATGGGCATTTGTTGCCTTATTTGTTACTTAGCCTACTTGATCTAAGCCTTAAAAATGGTGTAACCTTAAATCATCAGGTTGATTCAGTCTTATAGAAACATTTGTTTACTGGCACTCATATTGCCAAACAACCATCCATTTTTCAAACCGCTTGTCCTATATAAAATCGTTGTAGTCTATCCCACTGAGTGGACAGATGACCTGTCCATCACAGGCCAAATAAACATTTAGCTTTAATTCATAGTCAAAGAAAAAAAAAAGTATTCCGTCCACTTTATGTTTATGCTGAAAAAATGAATTGTATTTGCTGCCTCATAGTCTGTTCTGCTAAGTAAATTCCAATGCACTGTTCAACTTGAAATAAGTAATTTGCCTTGAACTGTGGATCTGAGATGGCCAGTGTTTTTTTCTTTTTTACAGTGTTCACTGTTGTATTCATTTATTATCTTTGACATGAATGAATGTAACCTCATAATATTCCTGTATATTTTCCACGCAAAATATAGTAATTTGTAGCACCATTACTGAGATTTTTCTGCAGTATATGTCAAAAAGAAATTTACCTGTCACGTGTATGTTCCTGTTTGTCCTAATTTGGTTTGGTTCCTGTTCCCATTATTAGTAGTCACCTGTTCCTTGTTATTAGTTATCCTCCTCACCTGTCTGCCCCTCGTTATCTGCCCTATTTGAGTTCGAGCCCGTTCTGTTCTCCCTGGTCTGGAATTGTTCATGTCAACCTTTGCTACGTGTGTTTTCCTGTTTCCTTTTGATTATTAAAGTTAGTAAAATTCTCCTACGTCTCTTTGCTCCACACTCCTACACACAGTGTTGGGAAGTAACAAGTTACATGTAATGGAATTATGTAATTTAATTACAAAATAAATGTAACTGTAATCAGTTACAGTTACTGAGAAAAAATGTGTAATTAAATTAGTTACGAAAACGTTAAGGTTTACAAATGGGGGTTACATCTGAGTTGTTCACACACTCCCACATACAGATTTAATTGATTTCTTTCATGAATTGCTGTGACTGCTCTAAAATATGAAACACCAATGTTTCAGGAGTTTAGAACATGCTTATTCGATAACTCTTTTGTTTCATTTATGGGTTTATGTATAGCTATGCTTCATTTTTTAAGATTGACTGTTTTTTTCCAAGGCATTGTTAGATTCCAGACAGTGTTTCTTGTCATAGCTATGCAAAGATTTGATTTCAAAAACAGTAACATAGCTAATAAAATTTTTCTTTTAAATATGTATTTAACCTCAGAATGATCTTGAAGTCTGATTTTGTGGTGACTGGGCTTCAAAGGGGACATTGGATGCCCATCTTCCACAAGTTGGTATAATTATTTAGGGTTTTCATGAAAATTCCTCCGTGGTCATGTAAAACAACACCCTTTTTACACTGCTCTGTTCACAGTGGCTCGTTTTGGGGCATGTCCCTTTAAATGTTAATGAGCTCTGCTCACCCCGCCCCTCTCTTCCATTGAAGAGCAAAGGCGATTTGCAAATGATCATACAAAAATATAAAGTGTGAGACTTACTTCTTCCTGAAGTGCAGCTGGATCACAAACAATGGGTGCTGATCTATCCTTGAGTTTTAACTTTTTAACAAAATATGCCTTGAATTGTCCCTCATTCAGAAAGCAGTCTGGAGTAAAATTATTTGCGAAGACATAAATTAATTTACGTGTATTCGGTGGTGCATTACCATCAAAAACAAAACTAATGCACTGCGTCCTCAGTGGCTCTAATGTCAGCAGAAAATTAACACTCTTATGTTCTTCTACATCACAAAACTACAAAACACCTGCATTGCTTACAAGACATTGTCGCTACAGCTGTTCAAGCGCGGAGAGAATGATGGACTTCATACAACTAGCTGAGGGTGAAACTATGCTAATACTAGACAGTACTTCAGTGGTTGTGGGCGTGGCCTGAGCAAATATGACATCATACTGCTCAGAAGATCAAAATGGCTGGATAATTGAGACTGTTTAGGTTTTTGGGGAATTAAAAAAAAAGAGTGAATGGATTTGTATCATTGTAGGGTGGTGTACACACTGCTACGATACATTTATGCAAACACCATGTAAAAGTGAATTTTGCATCCAATGTCTCCTTTAAAATTAAAATATAATCTTAATTCAAGTGATGAAGGATTTCGAAAGTCTGACAGGAATCAGTGTTGACTGTTGAGTACTACTGTAAGGTTAACCCTGCCTGGTTTATGTTTGAAAATGATTAACAGTTTAAAACATTAGACATTTAGAAAAGTAATCAAATGTAATCAGTTACATTACTTTAATAAAGTAATTGAAAAGTTACACTACTTATTACATTTTAATCTGTAACCTATTACATTTCCAAAGTAACCTTCCCAACACTGCCTACACAGCAGCAGTACCGTGACATTACCTGTATGTCTGATCATTTACAAAAGAGGTTTAAAAATAAAAATAAAACTGCAAATTTTACAACAAATGTTTAAATGGCTCTTTACCATTTCCAGCAATCTTAACAAAACCATCAGTTTGTGGCCGTAAATAAAGACAATAACAATTCACATGAAGAAATTAATCTATCATGCCATGACCTGTTCTGAATAAAATTATGTAAATGGTAGGATACTTATGTCTCAGCTTTTTAAAACATGACTTCAAAAAAGTCAACAAGAGACTTAGTTTTATTAATTGGTAACTTTTATTTCTAAGTAAAAGCAAGATATAACAGTTGGTTGCCCATGAAGTACAATACTCCCAATATCTTAAGATTAATGTTTAACAATACAAGTCACAGAAATAGCTAATGGTAAGGTGGTTTAACCTTTGGCACAATCAGAAGTAACAGTCGAGTTGTTGCACAAATAAAACCTTTTTACAACTTTAAGTTCTATTAAACCTTTGCATTTTCTCTCCATTACTGTAGAGACCTTTTTCAACAATATTTTATATAATGCTGTGGCTAGGTTTGTAGAAGTCATTTCTTATTTGAACTGTTTAAAAAAATACTGAATACTATCTAATTTTCATAAATACATTAATGTATACATTTAATTCCTCTTAAATACTTACAGTATTATAAAGTCCTTGGCATTAGAGGAAAGACAACGTTTATAACCCTGATGAATGATAAATGTTACCTGCAATTGTTCCCTGCGTCTGAATATGACCCAGCCATTCATCATGGGAAATTTGACAATCATTTAAAAAAAAAAAGAGAGAGAGAGAAAAAAAAACATAAGCACCATCTTTAACCTAACTGCCTTTTGCCCTATGAGGTGAGCAATTCAAAAAAGAGCTTTCTCGTGACTTCAACATTTGTCTCACACTCTTGTTATTTACTGTGGTTAGCAGAGGGTGCATTCAGTTCATGCTCCAGCCTGGTGTTCACCTGTTGGCCTGGGGGTCCAAAGGCAGGGCATGGAGGATGGCCGGCTGCTGAAGGGGCCGAAGGGTAGAAGTGCACATCCACAGCCACAGAGGTCATGCCCAGGGACACGCAATGGGACAGCAGGAGGGGAGAGAAACTGTGGGAGATATTGATGCTGTGGCGCACTGGCGTTGAGGAGGGATCGCTGGTCTGGAGGGTAAGAGAAGTGCGCAGGCCCTCCTCCTGGGCAGGTGCTGGATTGGCTGGAGGAGGTGAGGGGGCGTCCTGACCTGGTTCAAACTCTCTGCTCCTCCAGTCCTCCATGCACTGAAGCTGAATGTCAGAATGTGGTGAGGGAGTGACCTTCCCCTCCTCAAATATAGTCTCCAACTAATTCAGAATGGGAAAAAAAGAAAATTGTTAAAAAAAAGAAAACAAGTAACTGTTGCTTCTTTCTTTATAGCTGTGAATTTTCCCACAGACTGTATGTTTTCTTGTATGTCTGGAGTCCCAAAGACTGCAAAGCTGTATGTGTAGAAATAAAACTAGTGATTTCAAAATGAATCTATTAATTTAACAGAAAAGGAGAAACTTTGAAGAATGATCATGCTGCATTCAGTTTCAGTTTAGTGTATTTATAAAGCACTATTAAAACATCAGAGTGTTGACCAAAGTGCTGTATAATAAAGAATTCCTCAAAAAGAAAACAACATCAAAACAAATAAAACACCAAAAACAGTACAAACAAAAACCAATGCCTCAACACACTGCAGTGTCCAAAGCTAAACATAAAAAATGAGCCTTCAGACATCTTTTAAAAATATTTACAGTAGGAGCAACTCTAATGTGAGAAGGAAGACTGTTTCATCTTTTTGGAGCTGCCACTGCAAAGGCCCTATCACCCCTTCGCTTGTACCTCGTCCTCTGAACAATTAAAATAGACTGGTCAGAAGACCTTAAAGACCTAACAGGCTTGTGCAAGCTAAACATAAAAAATGAGCCTTCAGACATCTTTTAAAAATATTTACAGTAGGAGCAACTCTAATGTGAGAAGGAAGACTGTTTCATCTTTTTGGAGCTGCCACTGCAAAGGCCCTATCACCCCTTCGCTTGTACCTCGTCCTCTGAACAATTAAAATAGACTGGTCAGAAGACCTTAAAGACCTAACAGGCTTGTGCACCTGTAAGAGCTCTGACAGGTAAAAGGGAGCTAACCCATTCAAAGACTTATATACACATACTAGGAGCTTAAAGTCAACCCTGTACTGGACTGCCAACCAGCCCAGAGAGGACAAAATAGGAGAGATATGATCCCACTTGCAAGTCCCCGGGGTACTGCCTAGCGGCAGCATTCTGTGGTAATTGCAAACGGTTTAGAACCATTTGGCAGACACCCACATACAAAGAATTGCAATAATCAAGCCCTGCAAACAAAAAGGCATGGATCACCTTCTCACAATCTTTAAAAGAAAGAGATGGTTTATAAAAACTGTAAATGCCACTAATCAGACCTTAATAAACCTTTGCCACTAATCAGAAATGAAAAATGAAAAAAAAAAAAAAACAGATTTAATGACGATTTTTGACCACAGGTTTACAAAAAGGGGTCAACTCACCTAAATTTGACAGTTCAAAGTTAAAGTTCCGTCTTACTCTCATTAAAACATAAGAAGTTTGCCGACATCCAGGCTTAAATCTCCTTCAAACAGTTCACAAGGGAGTCCAGAGCATTTACATGATTTTTCCTCAAAGACAAATAAATTTGCTTATCATCTGCATAAAAATGATATGAAATCCCATATTTTCGAAATATTGTCCCTAAAAGTAAAATATATAAAGGAAATAAAATAGGGGCAAGAATGGATCCTTGTGGGACACCACAAATTAACGGGGCAGAAGATGAAAATGCATGACCTGAATTGACGGAGAAACTTCTATTCGATAAGAATGATCTAAACCACTTAAGAGCAGCACCATGAATACCCACTACTTCCTCAAGGTGTGAAACAAGGATCCCGTGATCAATCGTATCGAAAGCTGCAGTGAGATCTAATACCATAAGGACCACAGAATGACCAGAATCACTTAATAATAAAATATCATTAAGTAAGCTACTTTTAACAATGTAGATTCTGTACTGTGGTAAGCTTTAAAGCCAGACTGAAAAATCTCAAACACAGCATTTTGGTCCAAAAAACTAAGAACAATTTTCTCTAAAACCTTGGATAAAAACAGCAGTTTTGAAATTGATCTAAAATTGGACAGAACAGAACGATCCAAGTTTGGCTTTTTAAGAAGAGGTTGCACTACAGCATGTTTCAGTGACAACCGCATCATACCAGAATGGAGACTACCATTAATAATGGACTGAATGCTCGGGCCAATAATATCAAAGACCTTTTTAAAAAGCCATGATGGAATACTATCCAGAGGACAGTATTCCCAGAGGTGGGTTTCATCCGACCTACAGTCTCAGTCAGTATCACCAATGTTCATATGACTCATGCATTTATGTCATATGATAGCTTTGTTCATTAAAAACTGAACTTGAAAATGTAGCTTGACAGCCACTATTAAATTTCATTGTATAGTTTTTCTGCTTAAAATAACTATTTTTTACCGTACAGCTTAAAGAAAGTTATACAGGTATTAAAAGAAATGTAAGCAAATGATGACAGAATATTAATATGTGCATTAACTTGTGCTCTTCTGTGAATCATACTTTCCTCAAAAATATTAAGCAGCACAACTGATAATAAGAAATGCCTACTAGAATGGTTTCTGAAGACTGGAGCAATGGCTGCTGTAAATTCAGTTTTGCCATCAAAGGAATATGTGACATTTTAAATGATATAGGCCTATTTAAATAGAAACCAGTTGTATACTTTTGTTACTTTTTGTACTGTATTTTTGATCAAGCCTTGCAGCCTTGGTGAACATAAGAGACATTCAGTATCAGGTATCAAGATATTCTCCTTCATGGGTTTGGAATAAAATTTGTTAAAGAGGTGAAAAGCACCATAAATGTTCTGACCTGGTCTTCTTCTCTAGGCTCTGGGTGAGTCTCCACAATAACTGGGATGTCCTGAGTGGACTGGACACCCTCTTGCAAGTCATCGGACGGTGGTTCCATCATCAAGGTGGATGGGTTGCCTTCTGTTGGGAGCGCTCTTGTCTCCGATGTTTTGGGGCTTTGCTCAATGACAGCCACCAAATTATCATCTTCAAATGCCCTGAAATGTGCCAGCATTAAGACAGTTACAAAACTACTATTCAATTAATGCAATGCTGACAGGGGCATTATACCATTGCTCTCAACATGCTCTCAACAAGACTAACTTGTTATCGTATGTCCTTTCCATTGCAAGACGTTCACCATTCCTGCAAGGCCCACCTATTCCCCTCGGAACTATGAGAAAAAAAAAATGTTTTATTATTTTTCTGTGAACATCTTATTTATGAACTCATCACAGTCTGTGAGTAAAATGAGTATCAATGTTTATTTTTAGAATATATATTATATCTCACCTGTCCTCCCTGTAGGTACAGCTGCAGGATCATTTTTCTGAACCAGAGAGTAAAAGGCCATGGCAATGAAGATGAAGGCCAACGAAACACCAACTCCAACCACAATGGGAATGTCATGCTTCTCAATCACAGGCAACCAAGTTTGGGATTTCTCCTTTTCTCTGAGGAAAAAAGGTATGTTATATGAAAATCACAACTCAAACAAGCCATTATAGTTCATTGAGAAGGAATTATTTCAGGACACTGAAACATCATAAATCCCTTCTAAGCCTCACAGCAATACCATAATTAAATCATAAAAATCAATGTATATAATTTCAGATGGTCTTACATTTACACGTCCAGTGCAATAATGTGTTTTGTTAACAGCCTGTCATTTTCTACTAATTGTTAACTGTTACACAATACATTGCCTGAAGGAACCAACCTGAAACCAAACAATTTCAGCATGCTTCAGCAATTCCTAGATCAAAAGGAACTAAATCAAAATTTCTCATGCCTCACTTTCCCATGAGAATATGTCCCGTGAGAGTACTCAGGCACTGCTGAAACAAAGTTGTCAAGTCATGTTGCAAGCTGTCACAAATATACTGATGCATGCTCATCATTGATTTAAACCAAAAAGAAAACGGTATAAAAATACCTAAAATAATCACTTTCTTCTGAAATTGCAAAATCACACAGTTTAACTGTCTTCCATCTTGTGTTACACATGTACAGGACAAAAATGTAAAAAAAAAAAAAAAAGTCTAAAAAATGTAGTGTCATATTATTTAAGGGCCTACACAGAATATATCTTAAAATACATATTAATTCTGTCACATTTAATAAGTGTTTACAAATATGAAAGGAAATAATGTTTTTTGTTTCAAAGATTACTGTGAATAAATTACTTTAAAGGTATGTATGCATTGATCTTATGCTGTAACAATGACCTAAAAAATAATAATGTTGATATTAGCAAATATGAGATTTTCTCTCTGCTGTAAATGCCAAAAGAACTGAGAAGCTCATTAACACAGACGTTCATTTGATCACCAACCTGTTTTTATTGTCAGTGGTCCTCATAGGGGCCTGTGAGGTGTTTTTCTTGAGTGACTCAACAAGGTCTGTGTCATTCGTCACCGATGACTTGGTACCTCCAGACTGCTTGATGATTTGACTCTGATTTTGATGCTTTTGCACAGGAGCCGAGGCAGTGAAATTCTCTACATCCATTAAAGTTAAGCCTGTAGTCTGAGTTTGTCCGCTAAAGGACTGGGCACTTTTCAGGGAAAAGCTCTGAATTTTATGGGAATATGAGTCTGCTGATGAAGGGCTGTTTGTGTTTGGATTCATTACTGGAGGTTTTGTGGCCTGCTCTGTTGGTTGCATATGTTCATGCGAATCCTGTATAAAAGTCTCTTTGAGTGGGGGAAATGGTGTTTGTTTGAGAGGCACGGGGGTTGGTTTTTGTGTTTGAATGGGATGTTTGATTTTTTCATTACTTCCTATGCTAATGTAACTTGGCTTAAGTGAAATTAACTCTATAGTGTCTTGGGTAGATTCAAGATTCAAGTATATTGGTGAGTCCTCCACAAAAGCATTTAGCACTGTACCAAAAAAAGAATAAGAACATTATTTTTTAGTTTTGCAGAAGAAGAAAATTCTCTAAGGTATGTTATTTGTGGATTGAAGAAGGGTGGACTTACAAGATATCTTTGTGTAATCTTCAGTTGTTTGCTGAAGGGATTCACTTGTCTCTGTATTACTCAGAAGCTTTGAACCATAAAGAAAGGAATTAGTAAATAGCTCTTGCTCAATCTCTGGAACCTGCAAGGTTGGAAAAACACACACAATGTCAGATCCATGATTGTTACCGGATGCAGGTGTTGCAAGGTATTACTCAACTGGCCTAAACAATTAAAAATGGTCAAAATGGTGGAGAATGTTGATGAAAATGCCAAAGTACTCACAAAACAATCACAGAGTCAGTCACGTGTTATGAGGCTAATGTCACAGATGGGACCAACATGACTATCTCTGCATATTGCATTACTCACAGTAGGCATAATCGTTTTACTCAGTGCTTCCTTATCAGGTGGGACATCTGAGTCAGCTTTAAGTTAGAGCATTTGGCTGGTTAGATAAGACCGAGATGTGCAAACATGAAACTGATTTATATGTACTGGAGCTATGAGAACTAAAACAATCTTAGTTCTCATGCATTTTGCTCACCAGTTACAGTTATGATGAGACTTCTCACATCCTGACCGACTCTGTTTTCCGCAGTGCAGTGATATTCCCCTGCATCAGACCGGTGGATGTTGGGGATGACTAATGTCCCATTATCTGTAAAAATTTTTTAAAAAAACTTAAAGTATGGCCTACAAGGGAAAACCTGCTTCATATGATAAAACTACAATCTGTAACAAACCATCAATGTGTATCTGTTGTGGGAGTGAGACCGGAGAGTTTGAACCAGACTGTTCTGGTGAATTTTGTATCGACGCAGATCTAATCCAAGTGTATTTGACAGGAAAATCTCCAACAGCTCGACAAGGGAGACTAACAGGTGATCCCTCTGAGACAGTGAGTGATGCAACGAAGGAAACAATGACAGGTTTCACTGAAAACAAGAAGAAATATACAATTAGATCTAAAATAGAAAATGAGTTGACTTTACCTAAAAAAGTGAGAAAACTATTTGCCTTAAAAATCAAGCAAATAAACATCATGCCTAACTGAAAAAAATCTGTTATGTTAACCTGACCTTTCTGAGTTATACTGGCAATTAAAAGTTATTAAAACAAAAGAAAATTTATTTTAGTCACTTTTATATGTTCCACTAACTTAAGCTGATTAAATTGGTATTACACAAGAATGTAGAGCTACATAATTCAAAACTAGTCTTACCAAAAATCTTTAGCAAAAACGTATTATATATATATTATATACTTAGTATATTCCCAGCTACAAGTACTGTGCGGACTCCCAGAGTGCATTGCAGCATGAATGAATTAAGCAATTGCTTTGTTTTACTATTTTCAGTTTTATTGCCAGTGCTTGTTGTCAGAATTATAGCACAACAAAACTTAACCTGTTTGAATGTTCAGAGTCTTATTATCAGATTAGATTTTTACAGTTGTTATGTTTTGCATGGTGAATGTTGATGTCTGTGTGTGGCACAATTAAGGTCATCAACTAGCCCATGAATATAATAATTTATACTATTACCCATTAACTGTATAATGTTTATGACACAGCACAATTTTGATAGATTGCAACTTTGCATTGCCACATAAAATGTGAATTAGTTAATGGTCTATTTTCAAGTTAGATCACTTCTAAAAGCAACCATGATTACAATAATGTATTTATACATCCTCTATAAATAAATAAAAATAATTCCATGGTACATGTTCAAAAAACATGTTAGTACCATGGTACTTTTTGCTAGTATGCTATTTTCGCAAAGGGAGATTTACCAGCAACCCGAAGAGTCATGGTTTTCTGATCGTGACCCAGTGTGTTGGAGGCTGCGCATGTGTAATGTCCTTCATCATACGTTCTCACTGATGAAATGTAGAGTGTTGTGTTTCTTAACCTGGGAACAAAATGAATTAGCAAGCACCACTGGTAAACAAACAGTAACTACAATCATAGTTAATAAACTCTCCATGCACAACATACCTCATGATAATTTTGCCTCCAGTTTGGACAGACCGGCCCTGTTTTGACCACTTGATGAAAGGGGCAGGGTGTCCTAACACCTGGCAGTGAATCGCCACTTCAGCTCCTACAGGAGACGTTACCATCATCGGCCAGATAGTCACGGATGGAGGTTCTGAAATAATAAGGTCAGATGGACCATAGAAAGTAATTATGAGAGCTGAGCAAACATAATGAAGAATACAAAGTCACAAATGATCAGCCAATCAATTTCTTAAGTCATGGGTTAGTGAACCCCTATTGGTTTATGATAGAACTACAGGTGTGATAGAAATGACCAATTAAATTAAACAAATTTGATTAAGAATCCTGATCATAGGGTTTCAGTAGACCTGGTTTACATGATTTCATAACAATTTCATAATTCAGACTAAACCATTCTCATAATGGTTAACATTTAAATAGGGATCTATTAGGGGTTACTTTCAAAGAAAGCCAAATAATTCCTTACCAAGAACATCCAGGAATATATTTTTCGATGCGAGAGCCCTTTTGAGATGGGAATTAGATGCTCTGCAGAAATACAATCCACTGTCTGTCTCTTGTACACTGAAACACAGAGATTCACAATTAAAATATATATTTTACATTTTGATGGTTTTCTCATTTTACAAGATTCAATTGCAGTATTATACACAAATATACATAAACATCACAGTTTAGCAAAAACTGGATTAGATAAGAATGAACTGCAGAAAACAAACAAATCCACACAACACACCTGTGGAAGACCAGGTCTCCGGTAGGATCAAAAGTATAATACGGTCCTGTCTGGAGGAGTCTGTTGTTCTTAAACCAGGACACTTGTGCTTGGGGTCTGCTGTGAGGAGGCCTACAGGAAAGAGTCGCAGATTCACCCTTCCTCACTGTTAGGTTGGCAGGTTCAAGAACAAAGATCCAATCCATAACTGTGTGAGAAGGGATGAAAGGATATGCTAAATAGAGGACAGGTGTGAACAGCTGCCACCTGGAATGAAAGTGGGTTCATCTGAAAAAGAAGTACCTGCAGGCAGGAGGTAGGCTGGCTCGGATATCACTTTCTGCCTCTCATTGTGAGCTTCACAGAAATACAGGCCCTCATCCTCTGACAATACTCTCCTAAGAACAAGATTTTCACACTTGTTTCACAATGTCTTTTATTATAAGTATTTGATTTTGTAAATATTCAAATTGATGTGATATATATCAAAATGCATATATTTTGTTGTTGCAATTTCACACTTGTTTATTCATGATTTGTCATAGAAAAACCTCACTGAAAAATCAGCAGTTGTCCGTCCTTCTGCAGATCCCATCTAGAAGAATTGGGTAATGGATGTCCATCCTTAAACCACTGCACTGTGGGAATGGGGAAGCCTTCAACTAAGCAGTGCAGTGCAGCTTCCATTTCAACAGGTACAGTAAGATTTTGGGGGCCTTCAATGATCTTTACGTCTACACTGGAACCTGTGCAACAGACATAAAGACCCCTGAATTAATATATCAGTAACTGAGTAATAAGAAAGTCAGAATATGTCAAATATATCAGAGTTGTATATCTCTCTGTCTTACCATGCACTGTCAGAGTTGCTGCTTGACTTCCTTTGCTTATGTTCAGCAGAGGATTGTGGGTGATACAGATGTAGACTCCTTGGTCTGCTTTGGTGATGTTAGCCATGTGCAAAGTGCCAGAAGTCTTCCTTTGACTCCCTCCTCCATACTGTCCCTAGTGGTAATATATAGTATTTAGTAAATAAAAATGATTGAACTACACTACACTCATTTGGCATTTGACTGCAAATAAAAAAAATACATCATGCCCAAACCACACCCACAAACAGTTTTGACCAATCAACAATGCTCTTTGACTATAGCCGAATTCTAATTTGTCAAGACTTATAGAGATCATCCAACATATAGATGAGTTTGTTTCTTCATCTAAGCAGATTTGGAGACATTTAGCATTACATCACTTGCTCACCAAAGTGAGTTACACTCAACATCTTATGAAGTGAAAAGCTGTTTGTAAGAAACAATTCTATCCTTAAGGCATTTTGTCTTTAAACCACTGCTTCTGGCCAAAACCGAGGCCATAATAATGCTTCCTCCAGTGAAAAAGTTCATCATCTGTTGTCTTCTCACACCAATATCTAACAACATATTTATTCAGTTTGTTTCAGACAGTTCCTAATGCAGACAAACTTTTTAATTAGAGAAAGAATTAGAGGACTCTATAAAAAAGGGGTATTTTAGGGGGAAGCACACTTTGAAGATAAAAACATCTTAATGATGTATTTGTTTATTACAAATGTAAAGCTTTTCACTTCATAAGACGTTAATTGATGGACTGTAGTCGTGTAGATTACTCGTGGATTATTGTGATGTTTTTATAAGTTTGGACTCTCATTTTGACGGCACCCATTCACTACAGAGGATCCGCTGGTGAGCAAGTGATGTAATGCTAAATTTCTCCAAATCTGTTCCTATGAAGAAAGAAACTCATCTATTATTCCTTTAACAGGAAAAATATCACCAAACAATATATATTATTTTACCATAACATTAGACAAACTTGACAACGCCTGTTTGCCCATGTAAGTATAAATTAGCCTTTAGGGTTATTAACTTTTAAAAGCAGTCAACTTAAATCCAGCTTTAGAATGTAGTTTATTGTGTTTTATTTCATTATAGCCATTATTTATGGGTTAACAGTGTGTGTACTACTACATGTGAAAGTGTTTTGCAGTTCTGTACCTGAATCTGGTTTCCTTTGGTGAGAACTCTGCCATTTTATTACAAATGTAAAGCTTTTCACTTCATAAGACGTTAATTGATGGACTGTAGTCGTGTAGATTACTCGTGGATTATTGTGATGTTTTTATAAGTTTGGACTCTCATTTTGACGGCACCCAACCATTTAAGGGAGAAAAAGAATTGTTTTCTATTGTTTTCTTTTTTTTATATATATATATGTATATATATATATATAAGAATAAAAAGTCATACAGGTTTGAAATGACATAAGGGTGAGTAAATGATGACAGACGTTTCATTTTGGGGTGAACTATCCCTTTAACATCATCTCTCTTCTCATAATTTCATTCATTAATATAATTACTCATGCTATATACATACATGCTTTGCTGACCATGACAGTGGTCTGAATCTGTTTGTTGCCTCTCTTTGCACTGCAGGAATAGTTTCCAAAATCTTCCTCTTTTAAGTGGGGAAAGAAAAGTGAGCCATTGGCCAACTGATGAATCCTGCTGTCCAGACCTCCAGTGTCTCTCTCCCATTTCACTGGTAGATGAGCCTTCAAGCCAGAGTCAAACACTGTGCAGTGCAGCATCAGAGAGCTATTTAAAATCCCAACGCCATCTTCAGGTAACACTGAAAACACTGCGCAAACGAGAAAAGTGTGCACGGAAATAAAATGAATATAAAATGATGAAGTAAATAAATAAATATTATAAGCAAACTAAATATTTTTGACTTGGGTATAAAGAGTTTTATTTTAGAAGCTAGATATTTTAGATTTTCTGACAAAGAACAATAAATAAATAAATAAACAGTAAACACATTATCAAGAGACTATGTTCATTTGGCATAAAATACCACATTTTCCACATATTTTGTAATTTTTTTCTATTTTTATTATTATTGTTTTTTTAAGTATAATTTAATAGAAATTATATTTTCAACCTAGCAATTTGCGTAAAAAGAGAAGTGTGCGTCTTACTCTTATTCACTTTACATCACTTTGTTTGTTTGTTTGTTTTAGTTAAATCAAAATTGTAAAACTTTGTTTAAATTAGATTTTTAATCCCAAATTTGAATGTGGTGTCAGGTGTCTTCTGTAGGTTTTAGAATATAGCACTGAAAACGCAATGCATCATCTGTAGCATAAATAATTATATATTGTATTAGTATTTGCATACTGTTTGCAAAGTAATAGCCAGCTATTCCATCTATTCAGTGTACCTTTCACCACATTAAATCTCATTTGAAATGGGCATCACTTTGAGGAAGCAGGGCTAGTTTGAAGTCCGCCGTTGCTAGGCTACACGTGGAGCAGCACAATGTTTTGGCAAGCCTTTTGTAAAATTATGCAAGCGTATAAAACATTTGCATGGCACACATGCATTTTTATGGGCCTGTTCAGCAGAATAAAATACAACAAAACAACATAAACACACTTGCAGCCAAAATACACAGGTTACACTCACCTAATTCAGACACAGCAGGATAAAAACTGATAGAAGAGCACAGAAGGAGGAGCCAGAGTGAACAGGACATCTGAACTGAGCTCCATACAGGACGAGACATGCTAGCCCTCTTCATCTGTGCCTTTCAAATGAAGATAATGGTCCATAGCATCATTCCTCATCTGACCAAATGCGTTCATGCACTGCAAAACAAACAGTCCAAAGGCCTCATACTAATGCAGGATTCAACATAACTGCCTTTCATTAGATAAACAGATAGCAGTCATAAAGTAGCCGAAATTGTTCAGATATTTCAAAACATAAATACTTGTGCTGTGCCTCATTTACTAGTGTGAGCGTGTCTTCAAAGAACGAGTGCAAATCACAACTCTCACACAGCGCAGCAGCACCTCCTCTCTCTCTTTCTCACCGCATATTCCTAATTTGGTTGTGTTTCATTATCACTATTATCATCACAGCCAGCCTTTGTGTACTACAGACCTCTTTACTCTCTTCAATAGACTGGCCACTTTACACCACACAGCAGCAAACCCTCCATTTACTGATCGTAACATGAAAAGAGCAGAGGCGCTTTGTACTTAGAGGATCAGTTAGAAAGCTTGTAAGGAAAGGTTTGTACTTGACCACATAAGCTTTCATTGCCACCGTGTCCATGTAGGGCGGTCTTAGTTTACTGCTTCCCTATATGGCCAGTAGTGATGCTGTAAATATGCTTATTTCTCTACACTACAATGAGTTCAGCGTCATGAAGTTGTCCATTGTTAGACTTTAGAAGCTTATTATAGCGACATTTGAATTGCATGAATGTGCATAGTGAACATTTATAGAAATGTCAGTATGAATCAATGGCAACATGAAGTGTTTTTAAAGGTTTTCTTCTGATTTTGTGCAGTCTTCCACTCCTTTCATTTTTTCACAAAAATATTACTCAATATGGGTTTTAGATTCAATTTATAAATACTGGCAAATCTAACATTAATTTCAATGAATGAATGAATTGAGACTACAGGATGGTTTATACATATATGTATATATATATATAAAAGAGCAATATGCAAGTGCTATGACAAGTCTCAGTTAGCCTAACGCAATACACGTAGCAAGGTTTTTTTTAATTATATAATAAACAAAAAGAAAACAGACAGAATAGGAAAAGAATAGAGCAAGCTAGTGTTAGAGGCCTTTTTTGCTTTTTGTTAATTGTATAATAAATAAAAGAAAACAAATAGATAGAATACAAAAAGAATAGAGAAGATAGTGTTAGGTTTTTTTAAGAAAACAAGCAGTTAGTAAATTAATAGAGTGGAAGTCTAAAAGGGGCAAGTTTTTTTAAAATAAAGAATAGAATTAGAGAGTGCTAGAGTTAGAGGGTCAAATAAAGATGGAAGAGATGTGTTTTTAGCCAATTCTTGAAGATGGATAAGGACTCAGCTGCTCGGATTGAGTTGGGCAGGTCATTCCACCAGGAGGGAACATTTACTTTAAAAGTCCGTGAAAGTGATTTTGTGTCTCTTTGGGATGGCACAATAAAGCGCCGTTCACTTGCAGAACGCAAGCTTCTAGAGGGCACATAAGTCTGAAGTAATGAATTTAGGTAAAGGGGTGCAGAGCCAGTAGTGGTTTTGTAGGCAAACATTAATGCTTTGAATTTTATG